ACACTGTGGGCAGATAAGACCCATGTGCTACTCAGTGGGAACAGTTTGTGTCTTGCAAAGTATCCTTCTGGTTTAGAGGAACCAGAAATATAAAGGAGAATATTTGCTTTTCTTTTAAAAATAGCTTGTTCTAAGGAATGTCTTTTTCAACCGTGAGAGAATACAACATGGAAGGGATACAGGACCTAATAAGCCACCTGGAAATACTTTGTATGGAAAAGCAGTTTAGCCAGTTTGGGGATTAAGCCAAAGAAGTATCAGACAGGCCTTGTTTGATATGATTTGAGTTTGTGGCAGCTTTTACAGCCCAGCAGGATTTCCCAAAGCTGAGGTGCTTTTAAGCTGCCCGTCTGTGTGCCTGGCCCTTTTTGCAGTCCTGGCTTTTGGCCAAAGTGATTTCTGTTTGTGAGGGAGTGAACAAGTGAAGATCATTACAACTTGGAAGGAGCTCAGTTCTTGCTGGATGAGTGCTATGGAGACATAGAATGGGACAAAACAAGTATAGAAATGTACCACGAAGTGGGAGCTGATAAGGACATGGCATGCTCCTGCAAATTTCAGCTGTTTAGGATATGGTTTGCAGACTGTGGGACAACTTTTATGCAGAAGTAGGGGAATGTGGATACAGGAAAATAAGAGGTTTCCAGTAGGATCTGTGTGTATCTCCCACTCTGAGGCAATCGAACATCAGCAGATCTATACTCTGTGGCTTCTCCACAGCTGTGATTCTGCTCCTCGTTGTTCATGGTGATGAGTGACCATACACTCATACACACCATAGGAGCAGCAGCACAGTGTTAAAAACTGCGAATTTTCAGAAGCCAACAGCAGAGCCTCTACTGCACTCTCTTTGAGACAAGGGAAAAGCAGTTTGAAAAGGTAAAGATGGGACACTCCGTAACCTTCCTTGCCCCTCCAAGTATTTTTTCAAGGTACAAGAGGACTTCTAATGAAACTATCCCACTGCCTGAAGGACAAAACAAATGAACTCTGACATCCATGAGGCTACCCAGGTAGCATTTCCAAATGAAAATTTATAGGTCTTTTAGGAATATTATTTTGGGGTGAGGGGAAAGAGAGGAGGAAACAAGAGAGGCAAGTTCCATGGAAAGCTGCTGTTCTTCATTGAATCTAAAATAGAACTTCTTGGAAGTTTACCAACCAGGCATTTTTGTGTGGAAAACACTAACTGTGCAGATTGGGCACTGTCCAAGTTAAAATACACACCAGTACTCGATGGGAACAGTGTTGGGGTCTAGATGTGTTGACTCTGAAATCCCTGCCAAAGAGTCCCTGCTATGGCAAGACTTGGGACTTCACAGCAGCTGTTATTTTTCTACAGCACATTATAGGTCTGGCTTTGGGTCTCCAACTGTGCATCCTCAGGATTTCAGGGAGGTGTCAGTGAGTTCTGGAGTGTAGCTTGCACTTTACAGTCAGTGTAGATTCAGTCAGTTCACTAACTGGAGTCCCAGGAGTTTGTTTGGTTTTCCTTTTCTGAGTTTGACACCTGCATTTGGAGGGATGACTTATGCTCAGCACTGCACTTGCAGCAAGAGAATGGAAGGGAAGGGATGTTGGAGTGTGGTTTTTCAGAACTGTGGTTTTTCAGGACAGGTTTTTCAGTAAAATGACTGGTTTGTTCAGTCCAAGTGTCTTTTTTTAAAGAATAAATCCACGTCTAGCATGAATCAAGGCACAGAATGAGCAGAAAACAATCTAAGAAACTGGACATTCTCAGGAGTGTGATGGAATTCATAATTTGCTAGAATTAAAGGATTTTTACATTGATATGTACTAGGGTTGGTGTTCCACACAGTACTGATGCTTGCCATGAGTTTTTGGGCATTGGATGAGGACAGGGGATGGGAGCACAGCTTTCAGCTTGGGAGGTTTCCTCCTCCCACTCAAAAGACCCAGACTTAACCTTGCTGTACGATTGATCTCATGCGTGGTAAAGAGAATTTTGATATTTTTTCCTAGCCCTCTTCAAACCCTTCCTCTTTCTTCCATGCTTGCCATGATAGTATTGGAGCACCCACCTTTTCCATCTGCTTCTCTACAAACACCAACCCATGCAATTCCTCTGTGCTTCACCTTGTGCTGAATGTGATGCTGTTTTTGGTGAGTCAAATCCAATGAGGCATCAAGATGATTTTTCTTGTGCCTAGGAAAAGCACAGTGCTGAAGCTCTTCTTTGGTTCTGCACCATGGGGAAACCCTTTATCCAAATGGGTTTCTGTTTCCCTGCCTCAGCTGTCCCCAGTCTCACATCATTGCTCTTAGAAGTACACACTTCATGTACCTCAGCAAGCAAGGCTTTCCCACCCGGGGTTGCTCTGAGATTACCTGGGTTTTTTCACTGTAATTTGGAGGGAGAAGCCTTTGTTTGTATTCTTGCCTGGGGCACAGCATAGGTCTTGAGGAGGACTTGTATTTCTGGTTTCTTCACAATACCAACTTTATCAGCCAGACTAAAGCAGAACTCCAGTTTTTCCAAAGAGGGTCACAACAAGCTTGGCTAGAGCCTTGTGCCAGTTAGCTAGAACCACACACAGCACAGCCACTTGGTTCAAGCAGTCTCTCTCTCATAAACACATACAGCACCTCAGTATCCTCTTCCTTCTCTACTTTCATACTCTAGTTTGTCAGAAAAGGGACAGGATGCTGTAGAGCCAGTGGATGTATGTTTGAGTATGTACCTGTGTATGAAAGGTGTGGTAAGTACAGTTCTTGCTTTTGGATAGTGTGAAGCTAGCACCCTTGCTGGTGGTAACTTCCAAGGGGGAGAGAAAAGGCACAGCAGAGCTGATCCCACATGGTGTCATCTCTGATGGGGCAGAAGAACTGCTAAGAGTTATACTCTTAGCAGATCAAAGCTGCATTCCCTGGTGGAAGCTACATTCTCTGGTGGAAGCCAAGTGAAAGCTTATGTGTCTGTTTGGCAGTATATCATTTAGATAGGGATAAGCTCGAGACTAACCCAGAAACTAACGAGAGGGAGGAGAGTGGGAACGTATTTTAAAATGCCCTGAGAAAAGAGGCAGATGACACAGAGGAGCCAAACCTGTCTCTCTGTCCAAGTACTGAAGTACTCAAGCTTGCAAGTACAAGGAGTCATGTGATGTGTGCTGGAGCACAGGCACCTCTCCTGCAGAGAGGGCAGATGCTGCACTTGGTCAGGATGTCTCATGGAGTGAAGCTGAGTGCTTCTCTCCATCCTTTCTGAGAAGGATGGGAGGTTTTCAAGGAGCAGTACAACTCGTAGCTCTGAGAGGCAGGGTCTGGCATGAAAGTGTGAGCAGACTGGGGTTTTAGTTGCTCTGTAAGAGCTAGAACATAGCAGCTGAGCAGAAGACTTAAACTAAGTGTTTTTTATCCACAGAGAAAGTACTGGAAGGTAGTGGCTGACCCTTGGGAATAGGTTAAGTGAGCCAGAGAGCAGCAGTGATAAGAGGGTGGATGTGTTATTGATTCACTCCCTCAAGGCTGGGCATGTGCTCCCTTGTGTCTGTGTGTCTCAACTTGAGGAGCTAATTCTCTCTTTTTTTGAGGCTGGCAACTTATGGTAGTGTAAGCAGATCTGTCTCAATGTTGAGGTGGTGGCAAAATATGTTTTTGAGAAATGGGGAGTAGGAAAGGTTTGTGAAGTGGCCTGTGCATTTCTGAAGTGTGAGGATAAGTTAAGAGGGAGTTGGGAACAGGCGTTACGGTTTTGGGATCCCTGAGTGGGTAAAAGGTTGGGAAGCCATCAGTAGGGTCTTGAAAGATTCTTGGCAGGTAGCTCTGGGTGAAGGAGGCATCTGTACAATGTGGTCTTGCAACGTCTCTGCAAGGGCAGAGATGCCCAAGCAACCTGAGCTTGGTGTGAGGCGAGGCATAACAGAATAATGGGCAGATGGTCTGGCACATGCCTACACAGCCCCCAGACCAGCCAATTCTGTACTCCTCAAGGGACTCACTGTAACTCAAAAGATAATCCTTTACTAAGACCACTTTTTTCCTTTTTAAAAGAAAAATCAGTGTTTCATCAAAAGCACAGTGTAAAGCAAATGAAAGACATAAAGTCACAGTGCCAGGAAACACAGACCAAACCCATATCCCATGAGAACTAACCTGCTTGTATCTTTGCATCAAAAATATTAATAAATTTATTGCCCATTAAAAATTCCCTTTGTCTCTTCTTAGTTGTGGTGCATGCTTGAGATCTTAAAGATGGCACTGTCAGTCCTTAAAGCAATATTTGACATCAATTTACTCATTAACTTTCAAATGCAGGACACTGAAAACCTTTTCCTAAGGGCATCTTTGTGTTCTGTTTGAGAGAGTTACTGTTGTTTTCCCACCTCCCCTGAAGGGTTGTTTACAATACCACCTCTGCCTTTTAATCCTCTTTTCCTTTCATGTCTAACAAACAGTGTTAAACAGAACATGGGGAAAAAAGCAGATCTCACACATTGTAATTATCTATAGTTAACTGAAGAAATGCTTCACAATTAGAGGTCTCATTTTGTAGATTAATGCTCAAGAAGCTTTTTCCTACGTTTTCCATATAAAACCTCTGTTCTTTCAAGCTCGAGGTTTGTATGTATAGTAAGTCAGATAAAGGGTTTCTGAGTTGATGTGCACTTTGTGCAGAGACTCAGCTGCCACAAACAGGATTTTCCTTATGAGATCCAGTGCAGAGGGGTGTCTTGAGATGTACACACAAGAATGTGGGCAGTACCAAGATGTTAAGCCATGACAGAAAACATTACATTTCAAAACTGGCTGCTGTTTCTGCTAGTTATTTTTAGTTTCCCTTAATTTCTGTAGCTCTTTTTGCCCTGTATCTGAGCACTTTAAGACTGTGAATATATTTAGAGTAACATTTTTTCTGTGGGGAGGTGTGGGACTCCACATTACACAGATCTGAGAGGCTATCATTTGATGAGCACTTCTTTCAGCAGCAGCACCAACATAAGCATCCCCTGATTTCCCCTCTCCCACCACTCACTCACCCCTCAGCTATGCCAGTTTCTGTGCTGTGTGGGAAACATATCACAGAACACATCCAGGTTAAAAATAGCTGAAAAAGAGAGAGAGAAAGAGAGAGAAATGAATTCCAGAACCTGGACTAATATCCTATACGCACATCCACCTTTTTTGCTCAGATTCCATCTGTCTGTCCAGCTCCATCAATAATTTGTACCTGATTTCACATAGGACTGAAAGATAGAAATTTCAATAGCTACTGATTTCCTCTCTGAATTTTGTTCAAACTGATTGCTGTGTGAGGGGCAGGGACCTCAACTAAAGAAATGCAGCCAGCAGTTACCTGGCTAGCAACTATGTTGTGCATGCTGGCTGGCCATGTATGCATTAGCTGATCAGCCAGCACATATGGACCTCACTGCAGCCCAGGAAAGGCTCTTAGAGCATATAAAGAGGGAAGAGTGGGGCTCATTGCAGCCATTTTATTTTAGGAGGAGGCGAGAGAAGGGAGGTGAGTATGAAGCAGTGGTCAGAGACCCTCAGGAAACCAAGAGTCATTAGTTCCACTGCTCACAAAGCAATTTGTTTCAAAAAGGCCTGAAATTCTATAAAATAAGACCTCTTCTGCATGTGAGCCTGTAAATCATACAATTTAGGAGGAAGCTGAGAGCTCAGCCTCACATTTCTGTTTAGACTTCAGTAACCACTTCTGCTTTTAGCACTCTGAACACCAGTGGAAACCACAGATAGTGATTTCTTTCGTGTACTCAGATGTCACTTAAAGCCCTTGTTTCTCCTGAGTAACTCTTTTAAGCACTTGCTTCATTTCTGTTCCTACCTGCCTCCTTTCCAATCTACTACAACTTGCCAAGAGCTGTGCCCCATTCTCTTCTTATGTATCCTTCACGCCTCCTCTCTGACCAATGGATGGCCTCAAATTTGGTACATGGCAGTACACAAAATATGCAGTGAATTGTACCGGAAAATGATGAGTATTTTGGTGCAAACAAAAGCTGGTTCTTCCTGTCCACCCCTTCTGAGGGAAAAGAGACCTTGGGTCTCCTCACTGCTTTTGCTGATCTGCAGAGGAGACTGGGTGGGATGGGAGCCACAGGGTGGAACAGCAGCCATGAGACACCCTATGAGCCATGGCTGTAGTCCATGGTCAGAAAACGCTCATGTTCCTTTTCTGAGGTGTTTTTTCAGTGTCTGGTTGCATGTGCAGGATGCAAGCGGAGCTGTGTGGCTGCTCGTAGGGGACTGTGTGTCAGAAGCACACATTGGCAGGGGAGCTTTCATCTGATAGAAACTGGGTCTACTCCTACCATCTGTGGTCTCCCCAGTAAGGGAAATTATCATTGCCATGGGCAGGTCTTGGGTTTCTCCAGGTGGGAAACTGGAGGTTTTGGGCAGTTGGGGATTTTCCTGGTGTGGGAAATCCCTGGGTGGCAATAATTCACTAATAATAATCCAATAATCCTGGGTGTATTGGGCTGTGTGCCATCCCTGCTGCAGACACCCAGGAACATTACTGGGAGTTGCACCCAGTGTGATCTGTTTGCAGATACTCCAGTCTCACCACAGGTCTGGAACGAGATGCGATGGGAAAGGCCTGAGAAGGCTCCCAGGGAATCTGCCCTCAGTAATTCCCTTGTCATTACATACTTCTGGGTGTGCTCCAGTCTGCACACGGGGGAGCTGCTAGAGCTCAGCTCAGCTCCTGCAAGAGAAGCACCTTCATAGGCCTTCCTAGCACTGATTCCACTTCCAGAACTAGCTCCTGTAGGGGATTTTGTTTCCCCAAATGGAAGAATATAACCATTATGCAAGGTACCACAGGGGACCTGTAAAGGACATCTCAAGCAGAAGCCAGGGCTGCCTTGCTGGAAGAGAGAGCTAGAAGGTCCCATCTTCTCTCCTCACCAGAAACAGGAGCAGGGGAGGTGCTGGTGAATCTTTACGAACATGGAGCGGCCTCATGCAGAGTGGAGTGACCTTACTGTGAGTGATGTTAGGATCTTGCTTTATTCTTGGGTAACTACAGAATTTGTGGAAATGTTGGCAGGGGTGAATGATCAGAAGGCTGGCAGAAATTGTGTAATTGGTGTATCAAAGGTCTTTTTATTCTCCTCCAGTCACATTTTAACAGTACCCATTTTATTCTATGTGTCAGTAAACAACAAAATTGTTACTGATAAAACTTGCCTTAAGCAACAAGACACATGTGAACAATAAAGCACTAAGCCACATTTTCAGAAGTGTGTGTGCAGAAATGTCTATTGTACAATGTATAAGCAGCATGTGGTCTGGATGTGGCAAGCAGCAACGGGAGAGGAAAAGGGGAACAGATGGAACCTGTACTTGAGTGACAAGAGCGGACGTAGGCTCAGATCAAATTTTGTACTGTGCAGAGGCTGAGCTTTTGAAAAGCCTTAAATAACAACCACATTTTAAGGAGGACTGCACTAATGGGGCATGCAGATAAGCGCACCAAATGGTGCAACTGCAGAGCACACAGCACTGCAGACAGTGATACATACAGAGCATATGAAAAGTTTGCTCTGACACACCAGCCATGCGTACAATCAAAGGTGTGCACATTTTAGAAACATTAGCCTCCCTGAAACCTCAATGACTTAGCAATAAAACATCAGGAAATGATAAGTCAAGGTCAGAAAGGTCTGAGAATTCCACACAGCTGAAATAAAGATTGAGCAAGAGGAATCAACATAAAGAAATCAGATTCAGATGTTTAAAGCTGGTTGTCTGAACCAAGTTAATATAATGCACCATGTGTCACTTCAAAACGTTTGGATCATGCAGCTGGGAAGCCCTTCCCATGATTGTGAAATACAGCAATTCACTATATCTGGGAAGGCTGGGATGGACATGTCTGCTGGGACACGAGCAGGCTATAAATGATGAATTGGGATTACAGCCTTTAATGTCCCAGTCCAGTTTTACCAGTTCCCCAAACCACTAGCACAGAAAACAAGCCCTGCAGCAAGGCCTTATGAAGATTCTACCTTCACATATTCTGGACTTGCTTTCTCTCTCCATTCATCTCCCCACGGACTGAATATGCTCACAGTTTTTTTTTCAATTGCGAAGCACTGATAATCTGCCCTCCTTGCTCTCTTACTTTCATCCTATTTAAAAGAATCCCTATTCAGCTACCCAGTCTTTTCAAGGAAAATTATCCTCTCTCTGCCCATTCTACCAAGTCTAGAGTTCATGGCTCTAGAAAATAATATTTTTCATCTGTCAGTACTATGGGACAATCACACTTTCACTCATCCTCACTCTTGCATATAAGGAAGCCCTCACCCGTATGAATGCAGACCAGACCAGACCTGTATGGGACACTAAGTCTGCAAATCTTGCACAATTTCACCGCTATTTTTTTTAGTCTCAGTTGGATTTATATCAATTTACAGATACACATGTATTGTACATGCTCCTTCAGCCTAGCAAAGAAATCAAAGAATCCAGCACTGCTCACCTGAAATCCACACCTTGCAGGATATGAGAATTCCATAGGTATGAGGGTTTTGCAAAATGGCAACATGTTTGTTTTGTGGATTTGTGAAATTATATAGCTGGTAGGAGTGGCTCTTTCCTAGAAAAAGGTCATACACTCATCAGTCCTTGGGTAAGAAACTGATTAACTGGAGATCAAAATAAATTCTGTACTCTTCCATGCACTGTTTGTGGTGACCAGTTCTGGATTGGGGTGATGGTGTACGCACAGAAATATTTGACAATATAGGTATTCAGCTCTCATATCATAGATCTTTTCTATTCGCATGCATTTTCATAGCAGCTGGACATGCATTATACAGCTATGGGCTAAAACTCTCTGGTATATTTCTAATAAAGCCAAAGACAAATGTGACACTGTGAATTATGTTGTGAACAAAACAGACCAGGGAGTGTTCTCTCCCCCATCAGCAAACAGCACAGCAGAGCTTTTATACCTGGCAAGCTCTTCTCCCACAGACACCTCCACACAAAATAGGGTGGCCAGCCTAAGGAGCAGCATCTCAGGGAGGGCTCACAGGCAACAGGCAGAGCTGTGCCAAGGGATGCTGGAAGCTGGGACCTCTCCTGGGGCAGCTAGAACCAAGACAAAGACACTTATTTCATCTCCAGCACTTGCTGATTTTGGAAGACTCTGTAAAATTCAGCATCTTCTGTCACTTGAAGCTGAAGTGCACAGCCTAGGTTTTATGCCCTGGCTATGGGAAGTTGGTTGGGGTTTGTTCTGTTGCTGACGGCTTGAAATTTCCATTTGCAGCTCCTTCCTGTTTCCTTTTCAGACATGCATCATACAAACCCAGAAAGGCTGCAGAAATGTACCAAAATGGTGAGAAGAGAGGACATTCCTTACCACAATGAAGTTTTTAGTATGCCTAGTCAACACTGAAGCAGCAGAAGCAGACCTGGGCTGGCACTTCTCATACCCACATCCTGCAGTTACATTCCTTGGTGCTGATGGCTACCTGAACTACGTGGCTGCAGCTCCCATCCCACCTGGGGTGCCATCTGGCATACTCAGGCAGCAGAACTTAGGGACTAGGAAGTATGCTGGGACATTAAAAAAAAAAAAAAATTAAAACTCGAAGCACTGCTGCTGCCTCATAGAGAGTTGGGTCATTCACTGCTAGCTGTGAAAGGGACAGTGTGCATTCTGGGAAGGCATACATCCCACATGTCCCCAGCATGGGATGGGACTTCTAGGAGGGATCACTTGGATATATATACACCAGACACATCCCTGATGTCATATGTATGCCACATGGGAAGGCAGGACTTGCTGCCTGGAGCCCATACCTGCCCACAAGCCCTCCAGTCCCAAGATCCCCTGGCCACATGGCACTCCACTATGGCTGGGGATCTCCTAGCCATACAGCACCTCACCATGCCTGGCAGGGAGAGCTGATGGAATCCATGGCACTGTCCCCCCTTGCTACAGCTGTGCACAAGAGCTTTGGCTGTCTCCAGTGTCGCTTTGCCTCACCCCATCAGCACAGAGAGTGAGTGGTGCCAGCCACATTGTGAGGAGCATGCTCTTCCAATGTCATCTCCAATATGATGACATATCTAATACAAGGGAGGAATTTTAGCCCTCTTTTTTAGCTTTCTGTTTGCCCACCCATGTTGCACCTGCCATTAGAATGACCAAAATTATCCAGTGACATAATTCATCACCCATAGAAAAGCGCAAACCATGCAAATTCCCCATGGAAATTTCCTGAGGAAGCAGGCTTTCTAGGTTCTCAATGCCTAGAAAAACTCCTTGACCAGTTACTTCTCTCCCAAACATTTTATCAGGAACTGAAGCTCATTGAATCAGTGATTCTATCGCAACTCAGTACTGGCTGACAGCATTTTGTGTGCCTTGGGATAAGAATCACGTTATTCTTTGCTCAGGTCCAGGACACCTCTGATATATGTTAGAATATCTCTGGCGTGTTACAATTAAGATTATTCCAAATTTCATGGGAGAGGCATTTTCGTGCACTGCCTTTATTTTATAGGGGACTTCAGCAGGGTCCACCCAAATTAACAACACAAAGAAATCAAAAAACACCTCAGTATGGTGCTTTCCTTGCCTATGTTTGTATAAAGCTTGTTTACAGCCAACAGACCAGGATAAAAAGGTCATTCATAGTATGTGCTGTAGCACTGCTCGCCTGAATTTTAGGAGTCAGCAGCTTTGATAAACTCTTGACGCAGCTTGCAGACACAGTTAAGAATGTTTCTTCCACCTACTGCAGGAAGCTGGTCAGGGTATCAAAGATCAAAGTTGCTCACACCAAAGCAAGAAGGTTACACACAAGCAAAAAAGTAACTACAAATGCTCAGGTTTGGATGCAGGATTTGCATGTATTGGTCTAAATTTGACCATAAAGCACTTAAAGCAATTAAAAAAACCCCAAATGCTGCAGCACCACCCAGATTACTCACAGGCTAATCCTCCTGTTGCAGGGATAACAAGATGTTATCAAGATATTTGATATGACTTTGAGGAGATGAGTTTATTGACAACTGTATTCGAGACTTATTCAGAGAATGCAATGACCTTACGTGGCTGTGCTTTAAAAGGGCTAACAAAAGAGTATGTGACCTGAAATGGGCATATATTGCAGGGAAGTCACTTCCCTCTGATACACATACAGCATCTACAGAGGCAAATATTTATCAGGAACTGAAGTTCATACAATCAGTTAATTGTTAAAAAAAAAAAAAAAAAAACCCTAAGAGATTTTTAAAAAATATATCTCAAAAAATCAGAAAGGTAGTCAGGACCTTTTCAGAAGTTTTTCCTGAAATAAGTGTCCCTGGGGTAAAGCACAGCTAGGAATGACTGTTGAGAAACTTTTGGTCAGCTCTAGCAGTTTTGATACAAATCTGACTGCTGCTGCAGTCACTGTTTCAGGACTGCACTAGGAGGAAAGACTGGCAGGGGAATTCAAGCTAGCATGTCTGCCCTCTTTTATTGTTTCTTTTCCATTCCACTACAGAATAAGAAATCAGAGAAAAGGCAGGCCTGATTTTTAAATTTTATTGGTAGCTCTAGTGGGCTCCTGCACACAAACAGGATTCAGAATAATTTTGGGTTGATTTCCTTTCATTTCTACATCCCTGCTCTGTTCTGGTTTACTATTCTGCAGCTCTCTGTACAAACAGGATCTTTCCTCAACAATGTTCTGCTACATCATCTTCCTTCCTTTGTATACAGGCTGCTCCTGCCTGTTACATACCATGCAGCTTCCTAAGGCACCTCATTTCTCAATGCTAGCAAAAACAGGAACCAAAAGCAAAGCAGCAATAAAATGCTAAATTCTCACCACAGTTAAAAATGAAATCTTGAAAGTTTCCGATTCAAGATGACTTTTCTGTTAACGGGTTATTTTCCTAGTTTAGTGCTCTGCAGTCTACGTGCAAATGAGGTGCTTGTAGCATTTATCAGATTCAAATGCCTCTCCAGCAGGGTTTGTGACACTGACCCACGCTTTTCCTCCTTTATTATTGGTGTTGAAAAGTAAACCCAGCTGAGCAGAGTACACATTGCTTCACCGCTCACCTCTTTTCTGCCATCTTGTAAGGCTTTGCCGTCTGATTTTTGCTCCGGGGAGGTTCAATAGCATGTGTACAGGGACAAGAGAAAACCACAGGCTGCAGTATGTATTGTACAAATGCTGTTATTATTCTGAGGCCTGAAGAAACAAGGAAGGAAGCTTGAGGCTGGTGGTTTGGCAGGTGTGAGGCCTTTTTCACACAGACATCTGTTTCAAGTGGTAGCTCTGGGCTCAGGGATGAGCAGGGAACGTCTGTCACTCCCACCCCTCCTCTGTGTCACAGCACAAGGGGGTTTGGGCTCCTGATGAAGCGATGTCAGCTCCTTGCTCAATCTGTGCTTCGAGACTCTGCTCTCTTGTATTTGTGGGGCAGGGTTGCAGAGTGAGGTGATTCCTTCCTGCAAACCGCCTGAGACAGGGATGCTGCTGCTGCTGCTGCCATGCCAGCATGCACAAAATGGATGGGGTTAGAGTACAAAATGGGTGAACAGCAACATGTGCACAAGCTCAACAAACCCAGCAAGCTCTGTGCGGGGACCTGATAAAAACTGTTTGGATGCTACCATGTACTTCACATGAAAGTGAACTTTTTTAATCCCACTAGATTATTTCTAGTGTTTTGGACAACCCTACTAGTGATTCCACTACAGTTTTGAATAGACTGCTTCATCTGGCAGGATGTTACAGCACACTCTCTGTGGCGCCTTGCACCACATTTGAAGGAATTCATTAGTGTTTGATGGTTAATTATCTATGCAATACAATATCTGGGATTCTACTTTACAAATAATCTAGAAAGAAACTGTAGTTTTTAGGGATGGATCCTGCTCTACTAAATACATGTGTAGGGAGGGAAAAAAGGGTTCGCATAATATCCTCCCCAGCAGGGATTCTTTTGGACAAGTTAGTTTTGAGCAACATTGTTATTTTAAATGACAATACGTTCTTTCTCCTGTAGTTCATGGCCAGCTTTAATGAACATTTAGCAACTTAATTATCTTTAAGACTGCTACTACTCTGTTACAGATTGCTGACAGTGGTCAGAGAATTCAGAAATTGCTGGGGGAAGGGCAGATATGCAGAAAAGCAGAGACTGAAATATATGTATACAGCTGCCCTCATTTCCATAAGAAATCAAGCTGAAGCAATTTCAAGGTGAGGGACTGTGGTTAATCCCTCCCAACACACTCATTAATACATCTCATAACAAGTCTCCTTGTCCACCGGACAAGGAGAGTCAATCAAGCACCACTTTAGTCTGGGCAGGAGAAAGGCTACAGTTTCATAGGGGCTGCTGGGTTTTGTGGCTTCTTCAGAGGTTTTAAGCTGTGCAGTGCTGATGTGCCTTCATTCAGAACTGAGCAAGGGGGAGGTGAAGTGATGGGAGAACTCAGCTGCTGTCTTTGCTTCATATTGCAAATGACAGTAAAATCTGCTGATGTCAACACCAGAAATGGGCAAAATCCTGGCAAAATGAAAGGCTAGGTAGCATTTTGACATTGAAAAAGAAGGCAGAATTCCTGACATGAAGCATCCTTCTGCCATGCTTAACATGATCTCTAGAACCACCATGTCATCTGCGGTGGTCATGTGTGAGGAGCACCACTGAAGCACTCATAGAAATCTAACAAACTTCAGAGTTGGACTGCAAGAAAAAGATTCTTTTGTCCTGAGTATTAAAAGAAAAATAAGAAAAGCAAACCACACACAAGGAAGCCTGATGTTCCAGCTTTGATATTACAGTTTTTTTTTCTTTTTCCTATCTGACAAATATCAGCATGACAGCAAACAGAGACCTCCTAGTTCACATGGCGGCACAGCTTAACTGTGCTGCTGAGTGGTGAATTGGCTCTTTGCTCTAGCATGCCCCCAAATAGTACCATTAACATGTGGTTATAGTCAGAGAGCACATTTGGTAGGAAATGACACCTTGTTACTTCCCAGATTATCTGCTCTCTATGGGGTAAATATTTTAAACATCGTGCCGGGTTTTAGCAGCAACATCCCTATTAAAGTAAATGGGATCTGAGTGAGGGTTAAATCCGAGCACGCAGTGCCGGGACGGCACACCTATAAATCTTCTGTGTCTTACGCTCTGTGCTTTATTCGCTGACAAAGGACAAGTGTTTGCTGCCTTTGGAAGGTTCCTAAAGCACAAAGGGAGGGTGTGTGCTCGGCATTACTTCCTGCAGCTCTGGCGGCTGCTGCAGCACGACAGCCCGAAGCAGGAAGGACACAGGGATTCCTCAGCTCGCAGCGCAGGCTGCAGCCACGCCGACGGCAGGAATGTGGCTTTCGAGGGCCAAGGAGCGCAGTTCACTCTGGGCTGCAGTTACACGGTGATAAAGTTAGTTTTGAAACAGCATCTACCTTTAAGCCAGGAAGTATTTTAGGCAGCAGATACCTTACAGGCCTCTTCAAGCTTACTGAGTATGTATTAAGTAATTTTTGTGTAAATTTTGTCTTCTGCTCATATCAATCCCATCACAGTAGTGATGATAAGTGCCCCAGTTTATGTAACAGCAAAAGCTGGGAAAGGCCCTTTCCTTAGGGTAGCTACCTTAAAACAAATAGTTTTGAGTTTGAAAAAAAAAGAGCCTGCTCTTTCCAGTAGGCATTGTTTCATGGTTTAATACGATAAAGGTAGCCTACATGTGCAGGTATGTCTGGCAGCGTTCTTTGTTACTTCACTAGATGGCGTGTGGTGGTGCCTGGCAGGGGGGAGAGAAGGGAGAAGAATTAATTCAGTGTGTAACTGGGAGCACGGCACTCCTGCCTCTGATGTGCTTTTAACAATGTGGATCTGTGACTTAATGTTTCAAGAGTGAGAACTGAATTTCCAGCTGAAACTTTTGCCAGAAGAATGCCCTTAAATTAGCAGTGGGGCAAGACCGGTGGAAAAGATGTTTATTAGACCAACCTATTTCCTAGGCAAATCATGCTTTCAGACATAAGTTCTTCAAATCTAAAACAGGCCTGAAGAAGAGCTTATGTGTCTGCTTACTACAACATGGTCAGCTAGTAGACCTAATCCCTATAAATTCTGTCATGCTTATAGCCTCTCACCATCACTGCTGCTACACTACTGTAAAAATATCCAAAACTTTGTGTGGTTCTTCAAAAGGCAAGCCATAAGGTTAATTTGTGCTCTCACTTTCCCTGGTCTATATCCTGGCATAGCTGTCCTCTTTTGTTCTTCTATTAACTATTTATGCCTCCCACATGGCAAAAGAACAAGACCCAGCTCTGCCCTGAGGCACTTCCTCTAGTGGGATGACAAAATCACCCTCGAAGGGCACTCACAGTGCACGTGCAGTGAGAATCTGCAGTCTTCTTGCTTGGGAAAATAGCCATTAAATCTTCAAGGCCTCGGACATGAATCACGGAAGTGCTGGATCCATTAGGGATGTTCCAGGCTCCCTAACACAAACACTGACAGCGAAGAGCTCTCCACAGAGAGGTTTCTTGGTGATCACGCCCACTCTCTCGGCAGCACAGGGGCTGTGTGGTTTCACAACTGGCCTAAGCTGACCTACAGCTGTGCTCCAGCCAAAAGGCAGCTCCCCCGCTCTGCTGACTCTTGTGCTCCTTTGGCTGTACGGTCTGTGGTGCCAGGGGCACAATGCTCTCCTCCTGGCTTTTTTCCTCTTCTGCTAGGGTTAATTTTCAATTGGCTCAGTTTGCTGAATTGACCAACTGCTTGGGTGGACACTGGAGCCGGCACAAGGGAATGGCCAGGGGTGCCGAACTGGAAAGTGCAAGTCTGGCCTTTCTGCCATCGGTGTGGGCTGAACCCCCAGGAGGCAGAGGGCTGTGCACCACAGCTTCTGCAGTGCCCACAAACCACCCCAAATGCCCGTGGGAGGCCACTGCCTCAGGATGGGATGGATGCAAACATTCCTCTGCTCCTTTGAACACAGAGAAAAGGGGTTTAAAAACCATCTGTTAAAGAATGGTGCCACTAGGAAAACACATCTGATATACATACAAGTGTGGGGTTTTCCTGTGGTATTTAGGCCTGAGGTGTTTACGGTTTTACCATCCAGCTATGCATCCAAGCTGTAAATGTGTTCAGTGCAACCCATGCACTAGATTTAACACCTGCTGCACCATGACTATAGCTACAACAGCTGCTTATACCCTAGCTGAATCAGCCCCATCATGGTCAACACTTTCCCCAAAGAACAAAATTATGTCCAAAATCAAGTGTCTTTCTTTGCTGTTTATGGCTTGCTGCTGATGGGAGAGAGTATTTGGTAGGTGCCTGGCCTGGGGAAGAGTGGAGAAGTGCCAGTGCTGCAGCTGTGTGGGAACTGTGCAGAAAAGGACCTAGTGCTCACGCTGCCTAGGCAAAACAAGGGCAAACACTGGCAACTAGCTGAACTAGAGGCCCTTCAGCATTCCCTGAAGATAGAACTCATTCTTCCCTTGTCTGTCAGGTTTCTGTGGCCCCTGTAAGATGAAGCTACAGAGTAAGACAAGTTCTGCCAGGGTTAAGCCACTGCAGCCTCTCTATTAACCTTCCCCTGAAGCAAAAGAGGTTTAAGATGTTAATGGGAGAGGAAAACCAGGGTCATTGGATAGCTTATAATCTGTTCTGTGGGAGAGGCAAGTTGCTACCCAGCTTTCTTCTGTATTTCCATGAAATGCTCCTCTTGTTTTAGACCAGCTCATTCAGTTACCTCAGCCTCAAAGTGCTTAGCTAATTCATTTGGTTCACATTTCCCAATGCCACCACTCCAGTCTAGTAAACTGAAACATCTGGATGAACCCAGGGGAAAAAAACCTGCAAGAGATGTCCTTACTTCATTCCAAATAGTCCGTGCTTTGAAAATCACTGTACATGCAACATTTGTCTGCACAAAGCCACCAGTATCCTCTCAACTCGGGCTCCTTGTTCAGGGTCCCATTCTGCTATTCCTTCACTCTGTCCCAATAGTCTCCCAGGGTTTAAACCTGTCTTACTGTCAGTATATTGTGTTTGAATTACAGAATTGTTCATATATGTCTCTCCCTCTAGTAAACTTACAGCAAAGAGTAAAGATTCCTGTAAGAAAGAACTGTTTGGGCTATAGAGAAATGCTGCCAACTACTGTAACAGGAAAACATTACAGCTCCCTTTTGCCCCAAAAATAACATTTTCTTGCTGTGGGTAAATAGTTATTTCAGTTCTTCTGGGAGCAGTAATCCCCGCCCTCCTTTTCTCCAAAGGCAGCGTGCAGTCCTCTGTCCCATAGAGAAGCTCATTTCCACAAGGCATGTCCAGACAGCATTGGCATCTGCCTAGGAGTGGGGATAGTAGAGGATGAGAACAACGGCAGAGAGGGATGCTCCAAGGGAAGTGGCTTATGCACATGACAGAAGCTAAAAAAGCATTCCTCACCAGAACAGCACTCAAAATGCTTCATCTGCCTGAGAAGGGCTCTCACTTGGCTTCTTCCCCCTCTACTCCATACCCTGGAACCTATAATTCTAAAAGTGAGTCAGTGTCTACAGAGACACTGATGGCTGTGTTTCATGCAGTGCCATCTCAATTCTAAACTTTGGGGCATGTCCCCTTGCCTCTGCCATGTTCTTGCCTAGGTTCAATGCATCTGCTGCTCAGGGAGGTCACAAGGCCATGAACTGTCCATTCAGAGCATCTAGTGAGCAACAGTTCACTGTGATTAGCAGGGATTTCCAAGTCCAAAATAAAATAAATGTAAACCAAGGAAAGTAATGACATTTGTCAAACTCAGCTATACCACAAAGACCAGATAAACAGATACCTGTTAGTCTGGTTTTAGTTTCTAGGAGTTTTCCCTCAAAGACCTCTTTCCTCACCAAAATGCACAGGTCTTTCTCTTCCTCATATTATGGAATTGTCAACCCATAGTAATTTCTAAGCAGCTACTCAGGTTCCATTAGTATTTATCCATTAGTGTTGATAACAGATGAACACTGGCCTCATCAGGCTTTACTCTGCTTCCTGCCTCATTGTTCATCAGTGAAGGGTTGGCTGATGCTTAGAACAAACAATCAGGACAAGTGAATCCAATCCCAGCTCTGCCACTGACAAGAGACAAATCCATGTCCCCTTTGTTTTAACTTTTCCTATCTGTAATGGGAGTAATATTGGTATCTTACAGCAGAGGAACAACTGCTTGTTTGTAGAACACTTTGAGATGGTGCAGCTTGGTGAGATCTTAACAAGGGTACAAAGTGCTACTGGTGTTTCTTAGGTGTCTGAAGTGTGTCTTAAGCTAACCTTGATCTGACACTTCATACATCTGATGCTCTTTCACATCTCTACTATAAAACAAGCTATGATTTGGGTGAATTGTTTATTAAATATGTAACTTTAAAATTAAAATACTTGTAAGGGTCTGCTTGTTTTTTAATCACTGCGTATTGCAGATTTGAGCTAACCTAAGAAAAGCAAATATATGGCCACAAGAAGAGTTCACTGAGGAAGCTCGAACCCTTCTATAGGTATGCATCATGTTAATGCAATGTAACCCAGATCTTTAGCATTTATGGAGGCCAAAAAGCTGTGTAAGGTCTTCTGATCCTGACAACAACATGAACAAGTGGGTTACATAACTGACAAAGCTTGTCACATCTTGGTAGGCATAAAAGCATTTATTTTCTTGTCTCCTAGCAATATGACAAAGGATTATACCTGCTTCTTGCAAGCCTTGCTGCAATATGTGCTTTATTTGTGAATGCTCATCCAGCAACAAAGGGTGTACTACAGAAGGGCCCATGGCTCTGGATTCCTACCATAAGGCCCTGACTCTGGGGCTGCAGATTGTCCTGTCAGCAACAAACTCATTTAAGGTATACACACCTCCCTTCATAGCCCAGGCTGTGCCTTCCCATGTTTAGCTGAACCTGACCTCCATCATGCTCCTTCTCCTCTGCACCACTTTAGCAAAGTGACAGAATCTCCAGCACAAAGCAGCTCAGGCCTGGGATGGGTGTATTCGCACAGATCCTCAGCACTGTCTCCTTTCAGCATCATGGAGTGCCATGCAGTGTGCACTGATCCTTATCACTGATATGGCAGTGACTATGGAGCACTTCGATACAGGTCCTGAACATGGGGTTCTGGGTATAGGGTCCAATTCCCCCTCTCCTGCAGATGTAACTGCATTTATTCTAGGTCTTCTGGATAGATAGAAAGTGTGTATCATGCTCTGAGCAGACAACAGTGAGGCAGAAAATGCCTTAAGTATATATCTGGCCTTACACCATGCCATAGCAGAGCCACAGCTGTCTACAGCACACTGCATGTCCTCTGCTCATCCAGAGCTGCCCCACATTGTCTCTGCACATTACAGCTCGGCCTCTCCAGGGAATGCTGTGTTTGCTGTTCCATTTGCACACCAGCCAGCACTTTGCTTCCTGGTTTATTAATGGTGTGTCCAGAAATTGGCTGCTAGGCTGGTGCATTTCAGAGAAGATAATGCTGTCCTTTTCCCTGCTGCTTATCATAACCCTAATTTCTGACAAACAAAAGAGATGAATTCTGGGCAATTTACCAATAATCAAGTGCAGGGTGAGCAAGATGGCTTTACAATATACATAGCCTGTGATTGGGGCTCAACAAAGCCCCCTGATTCTGGGTATCCCACTTGTACCAGGTCCTTAGACTGATGATTAGTGATAACAGCAGCAAAAACTGTCTGCCTTGAAAATTGCAGCCTGTGATAATAAAACTTCCAAAACTAGCAACACAACAAGAGCATAGGAAGCCTATGACATTAAATACATGAAAGGTATGCCTTAGGACTATGAGAAGAAATTGTCCTCAGCACTGAATGGGTAATCCTCAGGAGACTATTTAAAACTCATTGACTCGTTATGCCTACACACAGCTTTGTCAGTCAACAGAGATGTCAAAAGTTTGTGCAGGTGAAGTTTAGTCAGGTACAGAAGAGCAGATCCTTTTTGATCAGTAGCCTGGCTCTGCCCTTGGGGCAGAAATCCTTCACATATCTCTTGGGGTTTCTTTTGTCATTTGATGGGTTTGCCTCTGATATATGAAATCATGAGCTGAGCTGTATGGTTGAGGCAGGGTGGTAATACCAGATGCAGGTAGGATGTGTGTGGCAGGGTTCATTTCATGTCAGAGACATAACGCACAGCATGCTCCCTCTACCTGTGGAGCAGCCCAGGACCCAGCTGGAGAACTTGAGTGATCTGTTCCTCAGCTGTCTTACACACACAGAGCTCAGGACTGTGAACTGCACTGCCCTGTGGATGCCCAGGAGACAGACTGGGCTGCTATTACTCTGCATGTACAGTATCCTGGCCCTTTTCTCACACTGCATTGCTTCCTTCCCTCTGCCAGCCTTTTTCATTTCCATTCTGTGGTGACCCTCATCCCTCCTTCCTTACTGATAGCCATTCCTCAGCCCCCAAATCTGGCTGGAGGGGTGATATAAGACAAGGCTGTCAGCATAATGCAGAGGAATGGTGGCAAGTAAGAGAAGAGCCTACAACAAGGTAAACACTCTGCACCCTCTAGTTCCTGCTGGGGCACAAATGAAACTGTTCCAGCTAATTCATCTTAGTCCTAGATACATGTTGCATGAAGGCAGGGCCTGAAAACAGCAGAGAAACCTCCAACACACAGTCTGCATGGGGGTGATGCCTGTTACGTGGGTAGAGTTCATTGAACAAATGTAGATGTTTAAGCAGTAGGTGTCCATTTGGGACTCAGTCACCTTAGGATACCATTTTAAATGAGAAAAATAGACACTTTTGGCATAAGATAGAAATTTACACTCAGCTGAGCTCAATTGTGCCTCTTGAGCTCCTGCTGCTCCCTGTTGATAATACACGGAGTCAGGCATAGCCAGCTCCCAGGTGAATGCCTGCATGACACACACCAAGCAATGAGAGAGATAAATCCCATTTTGCAGGGCTGCATTCTGACACAGGGATGCTGCACGTTCTGGGACTGCAGAAAGGGGCTTTGTAGAGTGCCTGGTGCAGCACGCTCTGGCACATAACCCCAGAGGCCAGGGAGCCAGATTCAGAGGAACAGAGACACAGTGACAGACACAGCAAAACCCTTCGGGAACGTGGCTGCTGAAGCAACCATGACTTCATTAGACTTGCTCAAGATGCCCTCTACCCTAGACCTTTCACCTCATTTAATGGTTTCTTGGCCTCAATCCCTTATAATTCTGAAATGAAAAAAAAAAAACTCTTTTGACTCCTGTTTTCAAGCCAGGGCTGTTTGATTTGGAACGCTGCATTGAAGTCTGTGTTACTGATTGATTTCAGGTTTATTATATTTTCCCCTTTGAAAAATGCTACAGTAAAAAAAAATCCCCACTTTGTCGTTTTTCATGTACCCCCCCCCCTTTTTTTTTTTTTTTCAATCTTAGCAAATGCTCAGTCTTTTCCACTTCAATAGCTTGAAATTCTCCTCTGGGAACCCTAAGCTCTTTAAATATTTTTAGGTTGCCAGATTTCTTATGTTCTCTCTCCAGGAAGCCAATTTTGTTTCTAAGCTCTTGAGAGTAGTCCAGCTTCATCTTCTGCGCACTCACTGCATCACAATAAAATGCTGCCTAATTGCTGCCTCAGCTGAGTCCCAAAGGTGCTGGAGTTTGTCTCTAGGCTACAGTTGTGGACAATAAACTCTTCTCAGACTGGAGTTAAGCCTTTTTATTATTTAAATCTGAGTCATGTAAAATTAGTTTACTAGCAAGTTACCCACAAAGATCTAGTATGGAAAGAAACTCCCACATATTGTTTTCCAACACAATGAGAGAATGATCAGATATAAAGATTTGCAAGTGGCTTGTAATACAAGATGTGTATAGAAACACCAGCATTTAATTTTGCCAAAAAGACATGAAAATGTTTCTGTGAGCCTAGAAGTTACTCTCAGACCTTGTCTGTTTGATGCTCTTTACCTTTACTGGTGGTATGAAAAACTTTCTTTTTTCCTCTAGTTTATCCATGACCAGAAATACCTCTGAAAGAGGAAAGGCAGCTGAAGATAACAAATGCCAGATGGGCAAGAGCTTTCTGTTCTCAGTCTAGCACCAGAGCAAGAGGATTTACTGATGATTTTGCATAAAAATAAACAAGAATATACTAAGAACAGCCACCCAGGCTGCACCCCCATCAAGCTTGAGAAGACCCCTGTAAAAAGGGACAAATGGACAGTACAGGGAATGAGAATGAACATGAACACATGTTCTCTTTCTCATCAGGACCATATTCATCTATCCTCAATAGCAGAAGACATCTGTATATGGCATTTTCTCTCTTTGCACTCCTTTTTGTAATCTGTATTTTAAAGTTTTTGTATTTCTGTTGTACAATATGGCTTCTGACGAAAGTGCATACTCCACAAACAGTATATAAAAAGACTTAATGACCATTGTTTTGAGACTCTTATTTCCTTAAG